AATAAAGGAATTAGAATTTATATTATGGTTTAATTTTCTTTCTATTTTATTCTAGGTTCTAATACCCCAACTTATCACAATAATGATTCAAAGTTTCATTACACAAACGTTTTGAGCCGATTTTTTAAAACGGCTAACTCAATATATTAGCCAGAAAAATTATGCCTAAGCCTCGAGATTTCGTTCATATATGTATAGACCTTTGTTGCTTCTATGAGCAAAATCTTCAGGTTTGCATAATATTTTTCTGGATGGAATAATGAGTTAGCCGTTTTTAAAAATCGGCTCAAAACGAGCCGTTTAACAACACTAGTTAGGACTATTAAATCAAATACTAGATAATTAAGCAATTTATTTGAATAAACATAATATATAAACTGATAATATATAGATATATATAATTTTAAGGAAAAACATAAATAGTTATATAAATTTATATCATTTAAAAATTTAATTAATTTACTTAAATTTGACATATTTTTAATATTACGTAAATAAGAATATTCACATATATATAAATGAGAGGAAGAATTTCTTCCAGTTCTGAGGAATTAAAAAAATATTAAAAAGAAATTCTTATTGCATCAAAATCTAAAATTACGCCAATTGAATGTATATGCAATTTTTAAAACATTTTTGAGTAATGAAACTTTGAATTATTATTACATAAAAAAATTACTACCAATATCCAGACGATCGCATATTTATTTTTTAAAAATATTTAAAAAAATAAATATAAAAAAATATTTTACCCCGAGTTTTAGTAAGTTTTTAGTGCGCACAAATTGAACGTTGCAACGCAGCGTTTTAAAACGCAAGCAATGCATTTTAAATGCATTCGTTCAAATTGAGCACATTTCCGTTTTCCGTTTTTCATTTTAAATTATTTTTTAAAAGACAAACTTGCTTGTGTTTTTTGAAACTTTTTAAATTTTAAAGTGATAAAATTCTTCTAAATTGTAAGAATAATTATTAATAAATGATATAACAATATTTTTATGACATGGAACGATGAAATTACCGAAAGCTTTGCAGAAATGCTGAACCCTTTTTCATGAGAAACTTAAAGTATCAGCTGAATAAGGAGGAAATAGGAAAACTTACTTAATTAAATATTCATGTTGTTTATTTTATTGGTAAGTTGATAATAACTACTTGGAAAATAAAGAGTAGGGCTGTGCCAATCCTCAAATTCTGTTCTGATGTTACTACAAAGCCTATCCAATATTGATTCAAAATTTATATTGATTTTACTTACCATCTATATTTGAATAAATCCCATAAAATAATTTACTATTCATAAAAAATTATTTATTCTCAAAAAGTTAATTACCTTGTATAAAATATTAGAAATGTTAATTTTCATGTGGAACTCTCAACAACAAAAATACCTAAAGTACTTAATGAATTTAATAGGTTAATAAATGTTTTGGAAGAAAGAGCATCTGGGATGCTGTAAAGCTAATTTATATTTTAAATTTTTTTATATTTTATTTAGGCATTTTTTGAATAGCCTTGTAGAGGAGGCTGAATCCTTAATCTATGAGAAGCAATTTCTGTTTAAAACAGAGGTTATGAAATATTTATATTATCTCAAGGCAAATGATATATCGTCAGAACCTATATCATCACAACCTGACAATGATTCTCCATTAGATATTTTTAATAGCATTATATAAATTATTTATTTTTTATAAAAATGTATTGTATGTATTTTGTATATTTTTAAATAAATGATGTTGTAAGATATAAGATCATATTATTTTAAGTTTGAGGTTCATTCCTCAAGATTTTAAATAGCTCAAGAGGCTACACCTAGAATAGTGTCCATATTAAGATTTAATATATTAAATAAATTTTCCTTAATTTTCAATCTTTTTATTTATATCATTTAATATTATAATTGTCTATAAAAATTAATTATGTAACACAATTTAATATAAAATATTTTCATAAATAAATTTAATACAATAAAAATTTAATAATTTATAAAATTTTTATATTTGTCTCAAATAATTTTTGATTCCATTGAAGTAGAATTATTTTCTCTGCTAGGTAAGAAAGGTCTAGTAGTGAGGTTTATCATTGTTGTATCTAATTTGGATGATTACATAAAGCAGGGAGATCAAGTGTATGGTTCACCAACTTTTAATATATTTTTAAGATATAATAAAATTAATATAATGTAACCTCTATATAAAGAGCTATTTCTAAATACTCTACCATCACTCTGCTTTCAATATGCTCCCACATCTATATAAATAAATTTCCTGTTAATGTCTTTTAGGGCTAACAAGTTAATTGAAAATCTATGCTTGCAGTTAAAAAATTTGAGCCACTATTAAGAGGGCTCTCGATATAGATATGTTTTCCATCTATAGCCTTAAAACAATTTGGAAATCCTGATTGAAGCAGGAATTCCTTAAAAAACTAAAGATAAAAGTAAATATTAATCTTGATTTATTATAATAAATTTACTCTTTCCCAATCATTTTTATTAGGCCTAGGCATGTGAATAAGTACAGTAGCATTCCAAATGCTGTGCACACTGATTTCACAATATTAGCTATACAGGATTTTGAAATCCTTGAGCTATAAGCAAGTTGTGCAAATTATACACCATAAATACCTATTATATAAATAATTAATAATGAATTAAATTTATTTTACCTCATCTTGTATAATTATAAAATTGAGAATGTGTTAAATCGCCTTTATTATTAATATATTCAGAAAAAAGATTTCTTTTAACATATATTTGAGATGTCTTGCTCCTTTTCCTTTCTTTATTTTTTTTAAGGAAATATAAGGCAAGGAATTTTATCTGTTTTAAATTTAACTGCATTTACGTTTTTATATATGCGTTTTGAAACGCTGCGTTGCAACGTTCAATTTGTGCGCACTTTACAGACCTTGTGATATTAAATTCGCTATAATATATTCGTGATATATTCCTCGAAATAGTTTTCGCTATATCGTATTCGCGATTTCATGACTTAGCTATAAAACTTTCGCGATAAAAGTTTTGCTGTAATGTATTCACTTTAAATGTTTCATCGCAATAAGGGTTTTGCTATAAAATTCATTTCCTATAAAAGTTTTGCTGGATTAACATGAAACCGTTTAAGGATACAATTTATGGTATTGATTATTATCGTACTTTCGATGAAGATATAAACATATTATTGTTAAATTAAAATTATATTTTGATCTTTTCATTGTTAAAATAAAATTATATTTTATTTTTACAAAACCTTTTATATCTTAAACACCATACTTTCTTATACTAAATAAGAGTTGTATAGATGTGCTAGATGTAATTGAGACATATTTGGGGAAATTTTAATATAAAGATGATAAAGGAGATATATATTTTTTCCGGCAATGTATTATTTTTTCAACATTAAATCATTTTTTGAGTGCACTTTTTTAATTAAAAATCTGATTTTACCGAAAATGTATACCGTCATATTTGGAAACCTACCCTATAAATTTCAGACAATTTTTCCATTTATATCAAATTTTCCAGATTTTTTAATATAAATTATAAATGACTCAGTGGTAACGGAAAAATTCTCTACAGTTCATAAGTGTATTTCAAACGTGTTAGAATATATTTCCGCTAAAATCCGATTTTAAATTTAAAAAACGCGCCCAAAAAATGATTTAAAGTTGTAAAAATAAAACATTGCCGAAAAATCACATTGACGCTAACATAAAATAAATATTTAACATATTTTTTTACTTGGAAAGTAGTGCATCCAAAAAATAAAGTAATGTAACCAAATGCAGTTATTTTTTGTAAAAATATAACTATAACAGCCTTAGTTTTTTTATTAATTTTTAATATGAGTATCGCTTCCAGATATAGGCCTAATATCTTGCAGTATCTGTTTTGCAAAAAGATGATATAGGTGCGTCTATGCTTGAAACTCAGTAAGGCCTGAGAAATGAACTCTATTTTTTCACTATTGATTTTAATACAAAATTTAAGATAATTATAATTTAATTTCTGACTACTAATATTAATTAATGTTAATAATAAGCCAATTTGTTGACAATTTTGATTTAATATATAAATAGACATGTATTATTTTTATTTAGTGTTAAAATATTTGATTTCTGACATGTATAATTTTTTTAAAAAAGAACATTATATTGAATTAATTTACAATAATATATCTTATTGATAATATAATTTCATAAGATATATATATATATATTTTGTATTATACCCATCCCTGATTCTTAGAAATAAATAAAAAAAGTATATACATAAAATATATATTTGTGAATCAACTAGCTGATATACTTACAAAATTATTTGCTAACATTATTATTTACACCTAGTACACATAAATATATAGTATTAATATAAAAAATTTGACATGTTTTAAGGGCTTTTGATAATTTTCTGATTTTGATGTAAGAGAAGATCTTTTTACGTTATCTGGTTCAATTTATTATAAATACACGTATGAATTAAAAATAAACATTTAAAAATAAATACATTTACTTGTAAATTTGGTTTCTAAATGTTTGGATTTAATCAAAAAATTTGAATAGTTTTTATTGACAATACCTATTATAAACAATCATAATAAATATACATCGAATATTGTGATAAATGAATCTATATATAAAAATAGCATTAAAGATAATGTTGTTAAACACTTTGAGCCAATTTTCTAAAACGGCTAACTCAATCAGAAAAATATTACGCAAGCTTAAAGATTTTGCTCATAAACGGCCCAAAGGTTTGGGCATCTATTAACGAAATCCTGAAGCTTGGGAAATATTTTTCCGGCTAAAATATTGAGTTAGCCTTTTTTTAAAATCGGTTCAAATCGAGAACAGTACCAATTAACGAATAGTGGTTTCTTGATTTACAATATAGGTACATAGCCCCCCCCCCCCATCGCCCTGATAGATTCTGTGTATTAAGTTGGCTGATCTTATGTATGAGTTAACCTGAGACAACAGTCAAATTGAATATTAGTCCAATCTTATCGATTTCAGTAGTAAATTGACACTCATAAAATCCTTCATCATCTTTATTTATATAACGAATCTTTAATTTTGAATTTTGATACTTTGGTTGATTTATTATTGTTATTCTGGGGTCTTCAATAAACTTGAAATCTCCTATTGAAAGGATTTGATTATCGCCCAACCTCATCCATGATATCTTAAATTATAAAATTTTATTATCTGCTATATAATTTTGAAATCCTAATTAATATTTTAAATAACTTGTTTTAATATTTCAATGGAGTGGTAATCAGGCTTACTATATAAAACATGCATTGCATGTAAGACTTCAATGCACATTAAATAATGATTCTATATTTTTCTTAAAGTAACTGTAAATTTAAAATCAAAACTAATTGAAAATTTAGCTAGGGCTGCACCGATAATATCGGTAGATAGGTGAGATAATATTGACTTTTTGAAGAAAAGCTCGAGTGGACTGATCTTTAAAACCCCATTTTTTCCACTTTTATTAAAAATGGATTTTATTTTTAACAATATGGTAAATAATAGTGATACAGTATGTGTATTGAAGTGTATTCAATTTGGGTATTATTGCAGGTATTCTATCTAAATTATAAAGGTAAAGGACTCAAGTGTATGACCAAATTGTCTAAATTTATTAAATAGATTCGAATCGAATAGTAACGAATATGAATAGCAAATTGTTAGTTTTGCTGAACAAGAATAAAGAATTATCCGATTCAAATAAAACAAATAATTCAAATATTAATTATTGGAATAATTTGTTTTATTTAAACCAAATTATTCGTTTAATTTGAATCAAATTATTCAGAACAAATAATATGTTTTATAATAAAATTTAATCATTAGTCATTTCTATTGATGATCTATCAATCTGACAGGAGAAGTAATTAACAAGGATACATCAACAATTTGTGGAAGGCTTCGAATATCTTAAAAAGAAGAAACAATAAGAAAAACTCTGCCTTAAAAATTAGCTTGGTATTATAAATTAAATTAATATGCATTTTTAGTTAATTTATAATATTAAAAAAACGAATAAATCGAATACAAATAGTAAATTTTATTATTCGTAAAATAAGAATATTAAATTATTCGATTTGTTTACAAATAAGGCCCTATTTGATTCTTATTCGTTTTTGAGTGGGCTTAATATCTATCAAATGATAATATACCGTTTCTTCCTTCGATATGTTATGCAGATGACAATCTAAATAAGTTGTTGACATCCTCAATGCCGTTATGTTATAGTTTGGTAGTTTTATCTTCATAAATTGTTCTAGAGAATTATAGTTTAAACGATTAAGTGTATAAAATGTTTTCTAATCGTTGGTGGCATAAAAATACTAAGAAAAATATGTAAGATGGGTAGGAATAGGGAAATTGCGATTATTTTTTTATTATTGGGGATGTGTTAGCTAGGGCAAATTTATTTTTGGGAGGGTTTGTAAATATTTTTTTTAATTTAGAAATTATCAATTCGAAAAGTTTTATTTAAGTAACAAATTTTCACAAATTTTTCATTTACGAATTATAATTAAAAATATATAAAAATCTAATGATATTGAATTAAAAAATATGTATGAAATGAGATATGGGATAAAATTAAATGTGTCGAATTGTCAATGTAAAAAAAATATATACATTAAATATAACGGATATAGTTATTAGCATCTAAAAATATTTTGTTTTTTTATCTTCTCCAATAAAACACAAAGACAACCTAATTTTATTGCCAAAGACTCATCCTTTTAATTAGTCTCTTTAAGAAGACAAAACAGCAGGGGTAATATAAATTTTATATATATATTAGGTTTATTGAACATTATTTCTAAGTCTCGAACAAGAGGTATATAAAATCACGATTTTTAATATTCTCCTTAAAATACATCATTCTATTCGTATATTAAAAGAATACACTATTTGTTCTTTTTATTCTATTTAGATAGATATATAATATGAAATCTCATAAAAAAATTAAAACTAATGAAAAAAAAATTAAAATATGATTTTTAAAAAAAACATTAAAACGAGCGGTAATGTAATATTACCTTTTTGGATTTCTAAATTTTACCTTGTAATTCATATAGTATATTTAATATACTTACAAGAGTCGATAAAAACATTTATATTATAATCATTATTTTTAGAAAAAATTAAATATTCTTTAAAATGGTTTTATATATATTTCTAAATTTTTTTTAAGAAACAAGTGGCTATTTATGGCAAGTTAAAAAAAATAATAATTAAAATTTAAAACTTTTATCCCATTTTTATTAACTGCTTATAAAATAAGAAATAAGATTATGCAAGCCATTTTTTTTAATTTAATCGTAAATTTTATTAGATATTTTTTTTAAAATATATATTAATATTAATATTTATTTTTATTTCGTATTTAAAACGGTTTCAATTAAAAAATACAATATAATATAAATGATATCAAAATGAAATATATTTTAAAACAAAACAAATAAGAATATATTAAAAATTATATGAAGAAAAAAAAATATATACTATTTAAATTAATATTAAAAATATATTAAATTTTTTAATTCTAGAGAATAAAACATTAAAAAGATTATACATCTAGTAGTATAATAAAAAAAAGGAAATATATAATAAAATATTGGAGAATATGTTTGTGACGGTGTTATGAAAAGTATTGAGGTTAGGAAGGATCATCTTGTGGAATGAGACTGCCTATGAAGCTAATATAATTAGCCTTGTGTATTGCGATGGCGAGCCTTTGCCTTAAGAAGAAGCCCTCGCGGGGTTCACCGGTTAGTTGACGGATGTGGGAGCCGAGTTCCTTGAAAAAGGATAGCATATTTCCCAAAAGTAGTAAGGGTAGTGGAAATGATGGGGATGAAAATATATTCTTGAGAGATTTCAAAATATTTCGCTATTTTGAGTGACTCCTTTTTCTTAAGTATATTAACTGTTTGATTTGATGGAGCGAGTGGATCAATGCAAGAGTAGTCCCAGACCAGGAATTGACCGCACTTCCAAGGAATTTGTGAAATTCCGTCAGGCCGTTTCCCATCAGATCTGAAAAAACCAGAAGGTTCAAGAGTGGAGGGGATATGAGCGGATCTAAGAGCTCTAAGGATGATAGAATTGCATAGATTATGTCTTACAATTCGACCTTTACATAGCGACAATGAAGACTATGTCTACCATTGCCCAAAACGGCAGAACCGCAACCTGAACATATGTGGGGTGGGTAATAAGACAATTCGAATACCAATTGCGTGAGTAAGCTCGTTTTTATTCAGTTGTTATTGCAGATTAACAGACGGAATAGCTTCGAGAAACTCATGGCCTGAACCATTAAGCAGAGAAGAGAATAAGGGACGGTCAGATAATTGCATTCTGGAAAGGAGTGATTCAACGCAGAGTACAATAATAGGCCTATCCCAGTCCTTCTGCTTATTCGATTCGGGAAGAGGGTGATCCGCAGTAATTCGAGTCTTCCATTCGATGATTGCTTCATTATAAGACGAGTTGAGTTTTAAAGAATTAGGATTTACTATGTTTTTAGTTAAAGGTAACTGGATATGAAGGCTGTTAAGGCGAGATCGGAAAGAGATCTGAAACCTAGACCTCCCATCTTAGTGGGTAAAGAGGCTTGTGTCCATGCAATTTCATCAAATTTAAGATTTAGGATATTTTCGATAAGGATTTTGATCCCATTTTCATAAACTCCAAGTGGAATGGGGAATTTAAATATAGCTGTTGAACGAAGTGAGTAAAGAATACGGGGAATATTGAAAAAATTTTTCACAAGAAAAAAAGCTTTATGAGAGGGAAGTAGGGAAAATAAATATGCCAACTCAAATAAAGTATCCAAAGTGGACTGAAGAAAGGAAGAATTAGCAGAGTTACCACCAACGGAGGCTCCCAGATGATAGAGACCATCAAGAGTCGTTAGTTTGAATTTGTTTGTATTAGGTTCGATTGTATTGATAGAGATAAATTCTGATTTCTCTGGATTAATGGAGAGTCCAATAGCAGAACCGGTCTCCTTGATGTTGTTCACGGCTTTATTGACCTCAACATTGGATCCTCCAAGGATACCATCATCAATGTACCAGGAATGCAAGGATAATGAGCAGACCGAATTAATGGATTTAATGATGTCATTAATACCTAAACAAAAGAATAGGGAACCTAGGGGGTCTCCCTGCTGAATGCCCTCGACGGAAGGAATTTTAAAGGTATCAAACTGAAGAGTGGAGGGCTGTTGATAACACGAATAAAAAAAACTTAGTGTAACTGGGAAAAAGATTACTTGAGGAACTCAGAAAGGAGTTCCGGGAGAGTGAGTCGAATTTAATCAAGGATTCATTAGAAGGTTAATTTTCAAGATATAATCTGGACATATGTACAACCGCTTCACAGCCACCGGGGATTCCAACACCAAGTTGGAAGGGGCTTAGGAGACGTGAAGCATCATGCTTAATTCGAGATGATATCATCTTGGCTACTAAACGACGAAAGGTAGAACCAATGGCAATGGGTCTGATATCATTATTAGGCTTTTGAAGTGCGATTAGCCTAGCACCAAAGAGGATAGGTGAAACGAACTTTGGAACATCACCGTTTAAAATTTTGTTGCAGAAGTTTGTTAATTTGGAGAGAACGGATGTGTGAGCATGTAGAGGGGGAAGTGATTTCCTGGAGAAAAATGGGGCGTATGCCATCGAGCCCATGAGCGGAATCGCGATAAAAGGAAAGAATGGTTTTCCTCACTTCTTCAGAAGTAAAAAGAGAGGCGCAAGTAGAATGAGGTTGAGGGGAAATAGGGATGATGTTAGCTGAGGGGTGTTTTTGACATAACTTTAAATAGGTGGACGTGGATGGCTCAGCTAAAGAGTCATGTGTGGACACAAATCTGAGTGCTCCTTTAATATTGAAGTTGTCAATTTTCTTGCAGATCAAATTGGCCTTCAACTCTATTGGTGAGAGTCTTTTTTTGTTTAAGACTGGCTGTGAAATTTTGTTTTCATGAAGATGGGGGGGGGGTCTTCATTGAGGCAGCATCCTTGATTTGCTGAGTGAGGGATTTAGGTGAATTTTTGTCAGGCACTCTGAAAGTATTATATCCAAAATATAGGAATTTTAACCATTCTTGTTCATTACTAAAGTTTTGCAAAAGAGAGGATAGGCATTCAGCAAAAGATTTAGCAACATACAATCTAGCACCTTTAGGGATCCTTGAAATAATATTTGGTTTGGGATGGTCAAGAAAAATATCTGAGAAGCTGGAATTATATTGTGGTGAAGTGGAACGGAATTTTCTGGGGGGATAATCAAAGTATTGGTAAGTGAAAAAAGAACGTAGCCAGAGTGTGAACAGCTGAGTGAAGGAGGACCATGGACTTGTAAGCATTCATTATTACTTATATGTACTGATTTTTGACAAGAGGGACAGATTTATGATGAAAACATACAGAGGATGGTAAATTAAGAATTCATGTTGTAGAAAAAATTAATTTGACTCAAACAATAACTATGGGAACCCAGCAACAATTTTGGATAATGAGGTTATATTTGATTATTTTGAATAAATTCATTAATAATAATAAGAATTCAGGAGAACATTTTGGGATAGTAAAAATTATATCAGTTAATTTAAGAGAACATCAAGATACATTGAAAACAATATACATTTTTAAATAAGAAAAATCAAATACTAATTTCTTGAAAGAAGAAATTAAAATTGGAAAAATTGATGAATAAACATCTTGATAATTGGTTATATTTTAAAATTATGTAGGTATGATAATAAATGAATGATTCATGTTGTTGATATAATTGTTTAAATTTCATAAATAGCTATAGGAAGGATCCTAATAATTCTAGATTATAATCTTATAAACAGCTAATTGTGAATAAAGGGCTAAAAGCTTGGTTATTGCAGGTTTGGGAGAGAATGATCCAAGAGCTAATTTTATTATTGCAGCTTGGTATGAATATGATCAAGTGATGGTTGTTTAGATACTATATTACTTATAATCTTATAAAAAGCTGATTACGTGATAAAAGCGTTTTCGCCCTCTGGTTGTGGATACAACAGAGCTACGCTAGGTTTTCCTCGAAAATCCATCAAACTGGATAGTTAATTAAGGGGAGAAAAATGAGGAGCCCTTCACACGTTTGTGGGGAAACCGCACGTATTTGTACGCGCAACAATCCGAGAATTGTTGCTTAAACGTCTATAGGCTAATAAACAAAAAGAAATGGGAAAAACAAAAGCCTAT